ATCCCCTGCTCCGGCGTGGGCTCCTCCCTGGGTGCAGGGGGATCTCTGCTCCCCCGTGGGCCCCCATGGGTGCAGGGGCACAGCTGCCTCGCCATGGGCTGCACCAGGGCTGCAGGGGAATCTCTGCTCCGTGCCTGGAGCACCTCCTGCCCTCCTTCTGCACTGACATGGGGGGCTGCAGGGCCCTTCCTCTCACATGTTCTCACTCCTCACTCCAGCTGCAGTTTGTGTCCCTGGTGGTTTTTTTCCCCCTTCTTAACTATGTTACTCCAGAGGTGCTGCCACCATCACTGATGGGCTCATCCTTGGCCAGCGGTGGGTCCCTCTTGGAGCCAGCTGGCATTGGCTCTATTGGACATAGGGGAAATTTCTAGCAGCTTCTCACAGAAGCCACCCCTGTAGCCCCCCCACTACCAAAACCTTGTCACGCAAACCCAATACACATTTTGTAAAAATGAGCTGTTGCAAAAGCAGCTAACGACAGTAACTATCAGCGTGAGACAGCACATTGCTCTTGAAGGGCACCCAGCTAGAGATTTCAATACACACAGGTGCAATTTTATAATGGCTTTTTTCTTTTTACCCCTTTCTCCAAAGCTGCAGGTGTAGGTCACTGTCAGGAACCCGATGATGAACTTGGTGCCGCAGGTGTGGTCCAGTTCAGTTTCCTGTGTACAAAAGCCACATCCACACAGCTCCTGCCAATCGCAGCAGCAATAGGTATTTCCACTTCTGTACGAGTCAGATCTCTAACAGAACAACAGTAATTAAGGGGGGGGGCAGAAAACAATAAGAAAACAATGAAAAGAGCCTTGCCCCCTACTATAATTCTCAGAGCCGGGGTGAGGGGGAGGAAGGTATCACTCGCTTAAAAAATTTATATACGATGACCAGGCTTTGCCACTGCCCCTGGCTTGAGCGAGTCCCTCACTGCAGGAGCCTGGCCAGCTCACTGGGCTCGAGCTCGTGAAGCCAGGCTGTAACTTTACACAAAAAGGAGGGGAGGGAGCCAGAACCTTACCCGCATTACAGCCCGTACACAGTTTATACGTAGCCCTTTTCTACCTACTTACCTATAATGTTCTGTGTCGGAGATGCGAAGACTCCAGTAGGTTGCCATCAACATGAAAGCAGGTTCAACCTGTATGGATTAGGGAAAAAAAAAAAAAACCAAACCAAAAAATCCCAAACCCACAAGTTATGTTTTCTTTACATAGTAATGCTTGTTCGCACCAGAAGGATGTGTAAGTTAGGCAGTACCAGCTACGAAGTGATTGATAAGTAGCACGTTCCTATGCACCAGTGCAAGCGTAATGGTTTCCTACACTGCCACGAAGTGGGTAAGGTTTGTGTACATACACAAGGCGTGGGATTTGGACCTCTGTGTAGCACAGATCCCCAACTGGTGAAGGTGGGAAACCGAGCTCGGACTTCTGTCTCCTTCAGCAGTTCAGTTTCTAGTGAGATGAAGACAGATAAACTTGATTTTCCTCCTCATTCCAGGGCATGGCTATGGGTCTTGAACATCACAGTACAGGAAAGTGTAATTATCTGCCTGAATAAAAATAGAAAATTTAGAGCCTCAAAACATGAGAGGAAAAAAAAGGCAGATAGAAAAACACCAGACTCAAAATCCATTTTTTCTTTTAAAAACTGAAGCAGCACTTGCAGATACCCAGAAAGTGAATTTTTGCTCCTTGCCTTTACAATCAGGTCAAAGCACCAGCCCAGCCTGGGCCCTACTTCTGGTCTATTTAAAGCAATTCCATGACAGGCAGCGACACCCTTACAACTTGCCCATCTTTAGGCCTGCACAGCCGCCGTACCGGCAACCCCCCGCCCTCGCAAAACCGCCGTGCTCCTCGAAGCGGGAGAAAACCGTCCCCGGCGAGCCCCCGGGAGCGGCCTCCTCGCCCGGGCCCTGCTCGGGGGCACCTGAGAAGCATCAACCACCGCTCGCAGCCTTCCTCGTCCTTGTCACTCCCCAGAACGGGGAATTTATGACTCAGCCACGGGCGACACTTAATTTGGCAGAAGGGGTACAGATGGGCACAACAGCGTGATCTCCCTTTCTTCCTTGAGAGTCAGCTGAAAGAAATCCCGCATGGGGTGAAACTGTGATTCTGCAGCCTTTGGGTCTGTGCTGTTTGCTGAAAAGGGAATTACGCCTCTGAAGTGTCAGTTCATTCTTAGCAGGACTCTAGGCCTGGATTTTCATTTTGGGAGACAGGCAAGTTTGGTGTAACATTTGAATACCTGCAAGTCAACAGTGCCTATGCTGTTTCCCAGTGTAAATATATATACAAGAGATTTAACCGGGGAATTGGAGCAGGAAAACTTCCCGTGGAAGATATCTTGTGTTCTACCAAAATGACAAATCCTATTCCATCATTGCGGTGGTATTTGGATGCTTGTTACGCAATAACTTTTGATACTAACAAGGATATTTATGTACTCTACATTTAAATATGGATTTATTGGTTACACAATCACTTTTCCAGCTGAATTTCAGTAGTGACTTGTTCCAGAGTATTGCTGAAAAAGGGGAAACTGAAGGGAACCGCGTGGAGTATCAGTACAGTCCGTGCGCAGGATTGGATTGAACAGTATCTGGTCTTGTGGTTAAATGATGCTGTTGAGCAAGAAGTGGGGAATATTAGCATGAAATTTTAGGTCAGTTACAGATAGGGAAATCCTGTGTGAGGGTTCTTACAGGGATCTTGCTTTGAGTTAGATAACTGAGTTTTGAACAAGAAAGTGGGAAGGGCAGAGGGAGACTGGGGCAGGGGAGTACAACGCAATATGAAATGGTGTGTCATTGTGTCAGGCTGTTAGATAAGCAATGCCAGTCATAGCTAGGGATAGTCAATATTTTTGAGTCATAGGATCGGAATTAGTGCTGAATGTTTCTCTGGGGAGCAAATGCTTTAGGGTACAGGGTGTAAAGTCACTGTCTCATGTAGTTCATGGATGGGATTTGCATGATATTTCTTGTGTCTTGCGTACTTCATGCTGTGTGCACTCAGGTGGCAGTGGTATTTGACTGGAAAGGACAGATGATGCTTGCTTGAAAAAATGTAGTCTTTCCAGTGGCTTACAGCTGTACCACTGAATCTTCCAACCACCTCTTTCCAGTCCATTCAGAGACCTAAGTGGTTAGCTAGAAGAACTTAAACTGCACACTGACTTGTATACGTCCTTGTTTGTAAAACTGTCTGTACACTAGAAGTGACCTTTAGTAGTAAGTGTCAGAATTAGTTGATCAGGAAGAGCTCTGTTGTGTAGAGAAGCTATGATGATGATGTGATAAAATGTTGGGAAACTGATGTTCCTGCTCTTTGTTTGTCTAACTCTTGATCTGACGCCTTTTAAGCAGCAAAGCCTTTTAACAGATATACTGCTGCATCTGAAATTCAAAGTTTATTTGCTAGTTTCTCCACTAGAAATTGTGCTGGGCACATTTAGTAATCCCATACTGAGTGTCGGGGCTGAGAAGCTGTGATGGTTCCTAGCTGGTCCCCCCTCCCTGATGGGAGCTGTGCAGGCAGAGTCCTCCCGTTCCAGCGTGCACTTGCTGCTCTGCCATGGATGCTCTTCTGTCTGTGCCACACTTGCGCGGAAGAGAAGTAATGCTCCAGAGATTTTAATGAGGGTTATAAAGTGCTGGTGGAGACAGATGTTGCTATTCCCAGAGTGAGAACTGCCCCTGTTTACATCTGTCGCAAATACAATTTTTTACATGGCTTTGGTTTAGCAGCAGTTTAGGATTTATTAATGTTTTTGAGATAGATCACAAAACTAGGTTGTGTAATTCTTAACAGCGCTTAAGTATCAGCCAATGTAACAGAGTGGTTCAATGGAATTTGTTACGATCAAAACAGCGACTTAGTTAAAGATTTGGGAGTGGCAAGGGTCACCTGAAACTTACAGCAGGGTTGTACACAGATGGGTTTAAATCAAATCACACAGACAGACAGACAGACAACCAGTTCTGAATCAAATTGCATGCACGCACACACAGAGGTTGACCTGTGATTAAAATTTTCCTTTTTGTGAGTTTCATGAATTAGTCACTGTTACGTGCCGGCGTTCACCAACAGCTGGTCAGTGAACCTCGCCAAGTCAGGCCTTTGAGCCCTCGCGAAATTGTCGACGGATGATCCTTCAATCCTCGCGAAATCCGCCCTGAGAGGCGTCCCAGCTCAGGGGAGATGCTGGGTCACCCAGCCCGCTGCAGTGCCGGAGAGCTCGAGAGGTCTCCCTTTTGGATCGCTGTTTATAGCATCTGGAGATGATGGGCTTCGGTCCGTATTTTACGTTCTGGCCACAATTCGTGCTGAGTCGTTCTGGTGTACATTTTGGGCAGCAGATGGCCCTGGTGTGGCCAGGGAGTGTCTGACACCCCCGTCGCTGCACCTATGAGCAAGGTAACAGCACGAAGGGGCTTATCCTGGGGTCTGAACGGCCGGGGGGGCTGCACCACCACATCTGAACCCTTAACAAGCGGAAGGTTTCTCATAGGACAGTTTGTTACAACTGTGAGTACAGAAAATGCTTGGAAACTTGTCAAATTGCAAGAGATGGAGTTCCTGTGTATTGGGAGCAGGAAGAAAAAAGAGAGAGGTTGGGCAGTGGTGTTGGATAAAATAAGTTGCGTTGCGAACCGTGTTTCATTCGACAAATTGTAGTGTCTCAATTCCCATCTCTGAAATGGGGATGTCCATATAACTGAGAGGTAAAAGGTCTCGTTCCTATGTTTGGCATGCTCAGTGTTAGTAAGGCAAGCTGTATAAATACATAAGGAATATTTTAGTTACTCATTCTTAAAACTAAGTTATGACTTTTGACAGACAGGTTAATGCAAACAAATCTTCTGTCTCTGCTCAACAGATGCTGTGTTGCCTCAGAAGAGGGGACAAATACCTTCCAGAATAGCCATGAACTGTTATTGGAAAGTCCTGACAATTTTCTTACTATTTCTTCCAAGAGTGTTGTCTCTGCAGCCAGCCCAGCCCAGCGTGTTGCTAGTATCTTTTGACAGATTTCGATGGGATTGTATTTATTAAGTCTCAACTCCCAGTTTTCACCATGCCATGGAGAATGGTGTTCATGTCAAAAAGGTCACTAATGTGTTTTTATCCTAATCATCATACAGTGGTAACTGGTCTCTATGCAGAAAGACACAGTATAATTGCTAATGAGATGTATGATCCTATCCTGAATGAAACTTTTTTCTCTGAACAAAACAGATATCCATAACTCCAAGTTCTGAGAAGAAGCCAACCCAATATGGATAATGAACCAGGGGGGAAGGACATAAAACTGGAGCAGCTATGTGGCCTGGAACAGATGTGAAAATACATGGAGTCTTTCCTACATATTATATGCCCTACAATTAATCTGTTTCTTTTGGAGACGCAGTTGCTAGGCTTATTGACTGGTTTACATCAGAAGAACCCATAAACTTTGGTCTCCTATATTGGGAACAACCTGATGAGATAGGCCATATTCTGGGCCCAGAAAACCCACTTATGGGACTGATAATTAGCAATATTGACAAAAAGCTGGGATATCTTATGTCTGAACTGAAGAAAGCAAAGCTGTGGCATGTGATAAATGTCATAATCACAAGTGATCATGGAATGTCATAGTCCTCCGTGGAAATGCTCATTGAGCTTGATCAGTACATAGAGCTCTACAAAGTCATTGACCATTCTCCTCCAGTAGCTATTTTGCCAAAAGAAGGTAGGAGCTATAGCAGTAAAATTCTCTGAAGAAAATACTTGAGTATCGAAACTTCATAGACTTCGTTCCTTAACTGAAGTGGTGGTAGCAGCACTGATGCCAGTAGGACATCAACCTTGAACAAGGGGTACTTGCAGGATCATTCCTTTGTTCTTTTTGCTAGCTCTGTCAAAAGCTTGGATTAACTTTCTGAAATGAAAAGTGAGCAAATCTGTCTGTGGTTGGCTAATATTGCCAGATATCCTTTAGTCCTTACAAGAAGTAAGATAATCTAATGCCATTATTAAGGATGAATGGCATTCTACATAGATAACAACTGAATGTTACATATCTTGCCTTTCATCAAGATGCTAAAACCATAGTGGAATAATCAGGTTTCTAACTCAAACAGTAAACTGAAACCAGATGGGGACCTTTGGCTATTTGATTAGCTGCCAGCTATTGTAGTTCATTTTAGGTTTTTTCCCCCCATTACACCGAACAGCCAGCCAGTTACGTTCGTACCATTTTTATTGAGATAATGAAGGGCAAGAATGCTGTTAGAATCAAAATCTGAAGTCTGGCTGCAGTCATTGAAGGGTTTCTTAAGAGCCAGGTGTGTGTTTAGTGTCACTGATGTAGAGGTGCTGCTCTTTATTTTAGAATAGAATAGAATTGAATCCTTAAGGTTGGAAAGGATCTCTAAGATCATCAGTCCAACTGTCAACCCAACACCACCATGCCTGCTAAACCATGTCCCAAAGTGCCACATCTACCCGTTTTTTGAACACCTCCAGGGATGGTGACTCCACCACCTCTCTGGGCAGCCTGTTCCAATGCTTGACCACTCTTTCCGTGAAGAAATTTTTCCTAATATCCAATCTAAACCTCCCCTGATGCAACTTGAGGCCATTTCCTCTCGTCCTATCTCTAGTTACAGTTGTCCCCACCCATGCCAAGTCGGAAGTGCCGCTCATCAGGAGCTCAATCGTTCCTGCTCTGGGGGGGCTGGGGTACCTCTCTCTCCCTGCGCTTTTGCCTTCGTGGTTTTGCCATGGATTTGCCACTTTAGGAAGGGTCCCCTGGCGTGATCCTCCGCTCTGGAGCCCTTTGCCTCAATGGCTTCGCTGAAAAATTTTGATGATCAAAAGCTAGAACTATTTGGTGCGAATGTGGAAAATAGCATTTTTTATGTGGGCAGAGGTGCTAATTTGGAAGTTGAGTTTCAAGGTGGCCTTCTGAAAAGGTGTTTTTTAAGATTTCTGTAACATTTGCATCACTAATGGTTAGCACTCTGTATTTAATGCCCCAGCAGGGAGGGCATTTTGCAGACTTAAGTGACTTTTAAATGTGTAAACATCTCTTGTCATTTTTAGTTTGAAGAATGCTCCAGACTAAAATGTTACTATGTGCAAACTGAGATCATTTGCTGCCTGAGCACACTCAGCTGCTTGCAGCTGGGCGCTCTTTCTCTCAGTGGTGATAGAAGAGCTGAGTTTGGGAGCTCCATCCTAATGGAGAAAAACACCGTTGACCTGGATGTTCTCATTACCAAATAAAGGAGTTGTAAAAGCAAACTTTAGTGCTGCAGCATCCCTAATGCAGTAAATGAGAACTTATGCGTAACCTGATTCTCCTGTCTGCTAAATGCCAAAAAGAAATAGTATCCCTGCAGCAATTAGATGATAGAATAGTAAAAAAGCCATTTCAATGGACTTCAGAAATAGCTTGGATTTGGTTTTGTCCAGACGTTCAGATGTTTATTACACTACCAATAAACCAGAATTAACTTTGAGCACAGCTAAAATTCCTTCCTTCCATGTTACCAGTTGTAATTTTTATTATAGAACAATGAGTTTCATTTTCAGTTTAGCTATGAGATAACGCATGCTTAAGTATGTAAGACTGATTCTTCAGCAGTTATTCCATTTGTTTTGCTTAAATGAAGGGAATGGTAAAACTCAGTGAGACGTTGAGAAAAATTTTGAACGCTTAAAAATGCAGCGATTTCTGCTACTTTAACTGTTTGGCTGCATATTTCTTCCCCAAAAGATGGATTCTTTAACCATACTAGTGTGTTAGTGTGTGTGGAACTAATTATATGTTGATGAAGATGGTACCTGTAGCACAGCTGGTGATTTTTTTTATGCCAGTTTGAGACAAGAAACATTATACATTAATATATTTCCAGTTTTCCTCCAGAATTTCTATACCAGATTCTAGGAACTGAGGGGGAAAATGAAGACTGCTTCTTTAAAGACCTTGGGCAGCTCCTCCCAAACTTTTTTTCCCTGAGATGTATTCAAAACTCCATGCATGCTGTAAATGGTAGAGGGGATTTTATCCTTTGTTTACTTCAGGCGGTGTCTTGGGTCAAACTAAGGGCTTGTTCTTGTGGTCACCAAGGTGATCATTTCTTTGAACAGGCACTCAAAGAAGAGCTCACTGACAGAAACACCCGCAGGATGTACAGCTAGGTGTAAAGGCAGAACTAGTGAGGAATGATAAGTCAAAATGACAGAAAGTCCTTAAATCCCACTTGTCTGCTAAAAACGGCAGTGTCGGCCACAAAAAAAAATGTAAACATCTTCCAACCATGCTTCAACCCTTGTAGCGCTGGAAGTGGCCTGCAGAGACTAGCTGTGAACTCAGTTGTCTGAGTGGATTCTGCGTGTGTGTAGCACAAAGTACGCAAATAGGCCATGGAGCTGAGTTATTTGGTATATAACAGAAGCGTGCTATATACGCTGCATAGCCCTCAGTAGGAATCTGTGCTTAAATGGAGGCGGGGGGAGGATTGAAGAAACTTGCTGGGATGCAGATTCCTGAACTTGCTTGTGCGTTCCTGTCTGTGTGTCCTGGTTCCTCCTTTCTGGGCGCTGGTGTTGCAGCTCGTCCAGCTGCTTTCTGGCTCTTCAGTGACTTTTACTGGAAAGAAAAGCTCAACAACTGGAAATAAGCAAATAAAAACCTGGGGGTGGAAGAAACCGCCTATTTATTTGGTAGTGTTAGTACAGCTCTTGAGGTTTTACACTCACTGTGCCGTACATGACTAGTGAAAGGAAAGGAGTAGACACTAAAACCACAAAGGAGTAGGTGGTGCTGTGAGCCGTTACTGAAGACGGAGAGTGGCTGATGGTTCTAGACCAAAAGTGCCATCTTCATCTGCCAGTCCAACCTGCCCCTTCGTATGTTTGTCGTCTGTTGTTCCCTGCTTAGGCCTCTGCAATCTTTGTGCAGCTCCTAACGCGTTAGCGGCATCTGGACTGTGACCTGGGGGCTTCCGTTGAAAGATTAATGCAAGCTAGTTTTGCTTATCCCTAGGCAATTAATTGCTAATGCTATGATGTTACATGGTGCATGGCAACAAACCAGCTACTCTTTCTAAATCGGCTAAACTTGTCATCAAAATGGTAGAAGATCGCAGCTGGGGATCAGATGAGGTCAAATATGTAGCTGTTTATTGGAGCATCTTGTAGAAGGAGAAATAAATAGTTGAGGTCACTCAGAAATAAGTTTTCAGAGATGCCAAGAAACAAGCAACTAACAATTAAACGGCTTTAAAATAAAGAAAAAGTGTCACTTGTCATCATAGCCAACTGTGGAAAAGACAGAACATGGCCTTAATGCACACATTACCTCATAAACAGGTTTAGGAGCTGTCTTCTTGCCTTCAAGCTTTGCATGGAGCTAGGAGGAGCTGGTTTCTTTTCCATGAGACTTAATTAAATGCCTTCTAACTCATTCTTGTGAGAAGTTTACATGCTGATAACTACGAAATGAGGGATTTTTCTAAAAATAGCAGGGCACTTACTGCTTAGGAATAGGCTGTGAAGTCTGATGCCAGGTGTGATCTTACTGTGAATGACGCTTTGGATCTCCAACTTCCGTGCGCACCGTAATCCGCTCTTGTCTCTTGCAGCTGTAATTGCTTTTGGGGAAGCGCATTTTGCCCTCTTCTTCCAGTTGTATTTAAACTACTGATGAGTTCAGTAAGCATATTGGTATGTTTAAGTTCTGGGTTTTGTTTCTTTTGTTTGTTTGAAGGCAAACTGGATGAAGCTCTGGCCGATGCTCTTCCCAGCGTGACTGTATATAAAAAGGAGCAGATTCCAGATAGATTACATTACAAACACAACAGTAAAACTCAGCCAATCTTAGCAGTGGCTGATAAAGGATGGGAAATTGTATATAATTAGTCTGACAGTTTTCAATGTAAGTATTCTGTCTTTACGGTGTTTTGCTATATATTCCTAGTCAGAGACCTTACATAGTACTTTCTCTCCCAGTCTCAACCAATGTTAATTTTTATTTTATTTTTTTTAAGACTGTGAGGGAAAACCCTGAAGCTAAGTGTGTAGAATGTATAATCTTTTTTTTCCTGATGGCATGGGAAGCACCCTAGTACTAGGGGAGGGGGAACTCGACTTACTGTTTCTAAAAATTAAACTCAGTGAGATAAGATCATTCACATGGTTTAGTGGCTGCATACTTGAGATCTTCTTGCGAGATCTAGCAAACTGACAAGCACTTCCTGAGAGATTAAAAAAAAAAAAAGTTGTAACTGAACTTGTTGAGTAGAGGATGAATAGCGTTGTTTTATCATGTACTATTTATTTACTGGAGAAGGGTTGGGTTGGAAATTCGAGAGTGCTTTCTGGAAGTCCTCAGCTTCTGTGGATGCCTACATTTACAGCAACCTTGTTCTGTTGCTAGAAAGACTCTTTGAATACTGTGTTACAAAAATCACACTAGTGATAGAGTTTGCCTTATAGGATAAGATGCATTCTAGGTGATTTGGAGGAAAAAAAACCCACTTTTAAGTTCCTCACCTTGGGGTTTTGAGATTTATTATGGGTAGAATAGAGACAGTAAGCTGTAACTTTTGGTTAGCTGGGAGGAAAAATATAGGCGTCATATAGTCAGTTCTTAAGTTTCTTAATTGAAAACCTTTTAAACTTTGCTGCTGGTTATGAAGCTGCAGAGCGTTACCTGCAAGACGTAACAAGTTTTTCAGTTGTTGACAGCTGATGAGAGCAGCTTTTTGTGCCTGCATGTTTATTCACTTGTTCAGAGATTTTAGTGCCCCTGTAAGGAAGGGGCACTGGAGAGCCAACAGCGCAAACTTTTTCCTTGTTGATGCACAAAATTGGACAAAGTATTAAAGCAGTCAGAGCTCGAGTTCTGTCTGCTACTAGAAGTTAGACAATCTGTCTCTACATGGATTTTTTTTTTTGTAAGAAATCTGGTCCAGTTGCAAAGTTGGAGTTTTTCCTTGAGGAAAATCAAGGAAACTTGGGTGTAGCACAGCATGCCATTGACAGTGCTGTAACTGCCATGTGAGCTTACCCTTTTTTTTCTTTTTTCTTTTTTTAAATAGTGCTCTCCATTCTTTTTTTAAGGCATCTTCTCTTTGTAGTTCTGAGACTTGGTATTTACTTGGAGACATTTGTGCTGTTGATCAAAATGATTCTTCTAAACCTCTGCAAGTACGAATGATGGCTGTTCCTTTTCTGCAATGTGCTAATTCTAGGAAAAGGTTCAATGCTTGTTTTGCAACTTCAGAATACTGACCTTTATCTATCTTTTATTTCTAGTTGGTAATCATGGATATGACAACATCCTACCAGAAATGCATCCAATTTTTTCAGCAGTTGGGCCTGCTTTCAGAAAGAATGCCACCAAAGAAGTCACGAATGCCACAGACTTGTACCACTTACCGTACCATCTACTTAGTATTGACCCACTGCCAAACATTGGTTCATCCAATGCTGTGGAAGATAGACTTGCTGAAGAAGTTCCTGTAGCCTTTGGAGCAGACACCTATGCTACTGTTGTAAGAGTCTTTCTGGGCAGCTTTCTTGTTAGGGTTTTTATTGCAGTTTTTGTTAAGCATTTTAGCCTCACCCAAGCAAATACCATGCAAATACAAGATACTGAAGATGCCCAGCCACTGTTGCAAGATTAACAACACTTGGTACTATTTCCTGGTTTATGCTTAAAATAAGCTTATACAAAAAAAATTAATAGAGGTGGATCACCATAAATATGTGGAGTAAAAGGAAACGGATGCTGATCCATTGGTACACTGGAGCACGTACATACTAGGTATGCAGAGAAAGCACGTTTCTGTTTCACCCTACAGCCACTTCATCTGTCAGGGGTTGAAAATATTCTAGGTGAACCTGGAAAGCTGTATATATATAGACGTGTAGTGACAACAGACCTTGAATACCTCATTCTGAGCTACTTTTAGAGAAATAGCATCGACTAAGGTGCACTTCACAGTTATTACATGGTGATTTAATTTCCCACCCACCCCTTTCTTTTTTTCTTTGAGAGGTTTTTCAAGTCTCTTAGATTCTAACAAGCCACTGAATGTGACTAGACTTCTTTGGGTTTTTTTCTTCCCTGCCCAAGGAAGCTTTTGCATGGATCACCATTACAGATAGCTTGGTGGATTAAATCCTGCAGAAAACAACATTATTATCAAGCTAGGTCATGAAGTGCTAAGTGTCTAAGTTTAGAGTTAGGCATATTTCTTTAAACTACTGGGTTAATTGTAGCCCCAAAATATGAATCTAGGCAGTATTGCCTTTAGCGATCAGCATTAAACTACTTGTGGGTTGACTTTTGTGGGAGGTTTTTTTATGTAGGTAAATACAGGTCTTCATGATTTTAGGGAAATGTAGGTCTGTCTTTACTTTTTTAGGAACTCCATGCGGCTGGCAGTTTAAAGACATGTACAAACACAACGCCTGTATATCAAAATGGAGTCTTTTATATTTCTGTGATAAGAGGGTTCATTCAGAATAAGGCGGTTGAATCAGCTAAGGAACATACATGCACAAACTGGTTTCATAGTGCTGTCAAGCTTGTCACCGGACATCAGATCTGTTACTGGAGGCTCTTCTCAGGCGTGAGCTTGGCTTGCTGTCTTGTATTTGATCTATCTGATGTGTCTGGGTGGACCTTAGAATTTGATGAATAGGATTAGACACGCAATTTAAGGAACAGACGCATAAATCTTAAGCCATATACTCTTAAATCTGAAAAAGCACATTTTAATATGAAAAAAGATATAAGACCAGAGTTTGCTGTTCCAGAGGGAAAATCTCTGTCAGGGACAATTACTAATTTTGAGTCAACAAAAGTATATATTGCTCTGATTCTTTTGTGTGGGGTAATAAATCTTGCTATTGTGTTTTTTTTGGATGAGCTCACTTAAATGGTAGGTGAGAAGCTGCTGACTAAGGTTTGTGTGAAAAACATGGTATGAAGTGAGAAAAGTTGTCTAGTTGTCAGACTTGTTTAAAAGCTGTATTTTTTTTTTTTTCCCCTCCCTGTGTGAGTCTGCACTTTGCTTCTGAGTGCAATGCCTGAAGGAGAAATAAACTCTTCCAAATTCACGCAAATACTGAGTCTGGTATTTCTGCAAGTGCAATTTATTGCTTTATCCACAGCACCCAGCAGAGGGCAAAGACGGGAGCATCTTGGCTTTAGACGTGCTCTGTCGAACTAATGATGTGACTAACAGTACTACTGCAATGGGGAGGGCTGCTGGCAGACCTAGCAAGGAGCTGCAACAAGCTGACTAACTGAAGGTCAAAACGCATTTTGCTGAACTGAATTCCAGACTTGATGAATGACATCTAGGCAAGTTCAGAAGTGAGCTTACTTCTCGCTGCCTCAGTGATGACTCTACAACGCCACGTTACGAACCGTCTGGTCCTCACTGCGTCAGTAGCAATCTGTTGGATTCCTCCGTGATGGCAGGGACGCTTGCCTAGCGTTAAGCTGTCTTGCAAACAGATGTGGAAAGCTTCCAGAGACCACAGCTAGGTGTAGTGAATGCTTGAGAGGGGAGGCAAGGAAATAGTCCAACTTAAAGTATATGCTGAAAGTCTAGCTGTAATAGTAGCTTTAGGAAGACAGGAAACTAGCAGATGTGTCGGAGGACAGCGCCTTAATTTGGGGATATGTATGAAGTCTTGCGTAACTTTACCTGACTCATTGCTGCAATTCTACTGTTGTTCTGCGTACTGCCTTGTTTTCCTATGTTGCCATTTTCTTAAGAAAACACTGAAGGAAAACTTCCGGGATAGCTGTGCCTGATGCTGTAAAGCTGATTCTTGGTGGAGCTGGCCATTAGGTGTCTCAAGTTTAATTTGCTGATGCCAGCTAAAACTGAATGCTGCAGGGGCAAAGGTGAAGCTTTGGTGAAGGTGAAGCTTTCAGCTTTTGAAGCTGAAAGGTGAAGGCAGTAATGATGTTCACGGCAGTTTCTAGAGAGGCCGTGGAGGTCAGAGTAGAAAACCCAAACCTCTGAATTGTTACTAATCTCTTCCCTAGCTACCTTCCAAGAAGCAGATGGCAAATTGATGCATGGAGTCCACCTTTTCTTGCTTATTTGTGTCGTGGTTTAGCCCCAGCCAGCAACTCAGTACCACGCAGCCGCTTGCTCACTCCCCCTACCCCGATGGGATGGGGGAGAGAATCGGAGGAGTAAGAGTGAGAAACACTCCTGGGTTGAGATAAGAACAGTTTAATAATTGAAATAAAGTAAAATAGTAATGCTAATAGTAACAGTATAATAATGGTAATAATAATAATGATACACAAAGCAAGTGATGCACAATGCAATTGC